TCAAATTCCTTCCAATCTCGTAACTATTGCTACCTTCTATCATGCAGCTTGTATGACTCTAACTTTGTATGCGCGTCTATGCGACTCTTCTCTTCTCTTTCCTCCAGCTTTTAGCCAATCTCTAGGCTTCACTTTGTGAACATATATAAAATTATGTCAAGTTGTCCCTCTGGGAGTCATTAGCTTTACTTCATCTAAGTAGGCCATACTATACTATAATTCTTACTTCGATTTATCGCTACTCAGGTCTGCTACCAAACTCCAGGTTACTTTCGTTGCTTATCCTATATGCATAAAGCTAAGTTTTTTAATGCTTCTTCATTACGTTCATCTTAAGACTGATGGCCTAATCTCATCTCGTACTTTGCAGGTTTTGCCCATCCATTGTTGATTCACCTCAATATTGATCTTTAATCTTACAGTGATAACTTGAAACTTCTTACGTAATATATTGCCATATTGTACTTCCATAACCCTATCTCATATCATAGTCATCCAATTGTGATTCGCCTTACATGGGTATTTTAATCCTGTACAATTCATGAGCTCATTACTCAACCCAAATGTCATCCTTTATTTATCACAATTACACCCTTATTCTATTACCAGGGCAACATTCCATTCCTTCTAAATGTTATTAGTCTTAGACTCTTTTGAGTTCGTTTAGGCTATGTTGAGCTTTCAATAACTTAGAGAAACCATCAGCTCCTTTGTTTTCACGGGCTTAGTTCCGAGGACTTATCCATTTTTGTCACCTTCTCACTTGCCTTCTTCTTATCCTTACTCTTGTCTTTCTAAAACCTTGTCGTTCTATCATACTTTAGCTTGCGATCGATTCCCTTATGATTTTCTGGAATATCGAGACATCACATTGTCTGTAACTCTTCTTTTACTCTTTAATTAGACCTTTCGGTACTTAGAAACCATAGGCTGGAAGGTATGCCACTAACGACGCTGTTATCATTCCTGGATACTGAATCCCCGCGCTTCTAGCCTCTTATCCGCAATATGGACTATTCATAGCCTTCTGCATTCGAGTATCTTGTGCGTTGTTCACCTTTTCCTTACTTACCTTAAATATTGCCTCGCATTCTTCTATCTCTTTCATAACCTCCCTTCCACATAAGTATAATTTACCTCCACAACCTGAAGCTCTATTATAATACTTGCACCTCTGGTGCCTATACAATCCGGTGGGAGCTCCATACCGAATTCTTATGAGGCTGTTATTTTTCTAACTGGCTTTATCGTAGAGCCGTTATGGAATATGATTGTTGTACTATCTCTCTTGCACCTCTAATATTAAGAATGATTCTGTATGTTCTCAATCATGATTCCTATAACTTCTGAGTCCAATAATCGGATTCCTGATTTACTTTGTTGATGTAACTCTTTAGTTTCCTCCTTCTTCTGATCGGCCTTCATGTCGACTTAAGTTATCTCCCGATCTGTGGTTCATGGTATTAGTTATTCTGTTTAGCCTTTCATGGGCGCTGAGGAATATGCATGATACAATCCTTTAAAAATTTAATCATTCGTTTATGACTTGGGCTTAATTCTTTCTTTTAATGTATACCAGATTCTTCTACGGCTGTATATGCTGCATGTATAAAATTCCGAACCCTTAAGTGCGTTCATAATGTAACCAACTCTGGATCATTGATCGAATAATTTCTTTCGCTCCATCTTAGCTTTCTTTCAACGTAAGCTATTACTTTTTCTGGTCTTTCTGCCCCTTGTTGCGTCCATACTTAGCTTATCTTAGTGCCCACACATGCCAGAGTTTTCGTGCAACTCATACGATCTCGAATATTACTTTTAATTTTACTTCTTGTTCCTTAGCCACGGTAGGTGCCACTTTCCTTTGGAGTGCTTACAATGTTGTTGTGAGACTGTTGTTAGATGACCATTTCCTCTTTAGGTCGTTGCGCTTAGGTTGAAGTCTTCTTCCTTATTTCCTCAGCTAGTCTTTCGTTGTAGTACTTAGGGAGAACCCTTGGCTCTCGTAAAGCTGTGAGCTTATTACGGACCTTTTGATGTCCCTCCTTGCCTACAATCATCGATAGTTGCTTACCTCCGTGCCCTTGTGCTTGTAGGGTTGCTTCTGAACTGATATTTTGATATATCGGTAAGGAAAAAATAATATTAATTCTAGTATATTTTAACCTATCTATGTTTAAACAAATCTTATGCGTACTCTTCATAGAGTAACCCTTGTAAAGTTGTAATAGTTGAAAATTCCATATGGTATGTATGTATAGATTAACCCGATATTATTATGTAAACATTTTCTTTTTGGACAAAAATCACGAAAATTTCTGAAAAAATGACACTGTATAGCCGTTGTAAAATTAATAGCCGAAAAATGTATAAAATTTATATATTTTTTGTATACTAATCTCTGAACACGCGCGTTGCACGTGTATCCCATATCAATGAGTACTAAATTTTTAAGTAATAAAAGTTACAAATTAACTAAGCATTTGATTTTAAAGTATGTCATGAACATAATTCGAATTCAATGGCTTAATATTTGAATATGAAAGTCGTAAACCTGCAATGCACAATAAAATTAAGTTAGCCAAATATTATTTTCAATTATTATAATTTTATTTTATGAGTTGCAAACATATTAATTGGCCATTTTGTGTATGTTCCCTTCTACCTTCTTAGTTAATTATCATTAGCAAAGCTTTGTGATGATACTGATTAGGAGAGCAAACTATGCCATAAAAAAGATTGTTGCAAAAAATTGCAGTCCCAAATTAAAGTAGGAATTAACTTTTGTAAACCTGCATACTGTAATATTAAAGGTCAATACATAGACATATAACAAAAGAGAGAATATAATCTGCTCCACAAATAAGAATAAAGCACATTATAGACACTTATCATAAACTCGTGTTACCCCGTAATAAAGATAAGTCGTCAATTGAGAGCACAAGTAGATAAAAATTACTTAGAACAAGCTATAAGAAAAATATGAATGTTGTGCAGGGGCATGACTGAGTCCCGAAAAGGACAATAATATTTAATCTGTCTTAAAATCCTAAAGAAAAAAAAAAATGATATTTCAATCATTTCTCATATTTGGCTAAACCTTAACATTCTACTATTAAGAGAAACATACACACATAAAAGGCAAGAGTCTAAGTCAGTAGAAGAGTTACTCATGAGCAAAACTTTCCTTTTGGATGGAGTGATAGTTGAGTTTGGCATCAAAGGTGCTCATGGTATGGACCTTGAATGAGTAGCTCATAAAAATACATCAATTTAGTGGACTTTTGTACATGAATCTAGTAAAAGAGTTTTCAATCAACCGTATTTAGAATAGAATTTAGGTTAAAAAATTGAAAGGTCAAATTAAGAGAAAACGAAGAAAATAGAATATGAAGTGGTAAAATTTATCTCTGATAGATACATGCATGACAACTAATTGAAGAGACTCAACACCATTATTGATTAATTGTTACTATTTATTATGAAATATTTTACCTTTTAATTATTTTATAGAATGTAAGTTTACATTTTTGTACAAATTTTTTATGTAAAGCTGTATTTAATTGAGGCACAAAATTGTAATTCTACTTTTCTTGGATATTTTAATAATCTAACTTTAGCTATATATAAAAAATAATAAATAATAAATAAATAATATAAATATAAATATAAACATAATTAATATAAATATCAATATCAATATCAATATAAATATAAATATATGATATATGATTAATGTTGTGAATTTTTTAAAAGGGCATTAAGTACAAAATATGTCATTTAATGGGAGGTAATTTTAATTTTTGGTAGAGGATAATTTGGTCATTCGATTTTTGAAGGTTATTATGGTAAATTAACTTCACCTAAAAGTGTTCATGCTTATAATATAATATGATATATACATTCTGTATGTTATATACAAAAATTACACAAATTTTATACTCTTTTTCGGCTACTAGCTGTAATAATTTCTGGCACGAGTTAAAAGTAATAATACCGCATAATTTCTTCAAGACAATATTTAAAGTATGAGATTCCTCAAGGGACTGAAGTCATCTCTTGTTGCAAATTAGGAATCCACTCTGCACGTGTAATTGAAAATTGAAATTCATTAATTAATTCAGCATCTTTGACCAAATGTTGCTATAAAACTTTAGTTGGGCAAAATAGAAATTGATAGATCGGCCGAAATTAATTGCATTAGCTAGTCAAAAATATAAAATATAATACAATATATAAAAATATACATTTCGGCTCCTATTATTTTTGAGAGCAGACTAAGAATATATATTTCTTAATTTATTAGTTGGCCCTATTTGTCTACCGGCATATTTTTTAAATTGAGATATTTACAGAAACATACCAAAAAATAAAAATGTTCACGGGCCACTTAGCCATAGGATACCATTTAGTACTATTTTTGTCCAATAAAAGGTTAACAATCATATACAATATTCAAAAGACCTAAAAAGAAAAATTTTCAATGGGAAGAAATTAAATTAACACACACTTGTTGCCCATTTAATTCCCAACGTAGATTGAGAAACTTTCCATATGTATTCATGGAAAAGAAATTTGTCATATTGTTGCTTTGGGCGAAAGAAAATAATGTTAATCAATGAAACCTACTTGTTGCACACTCAATTTCCTAAATGGAGACCGAGAAACTTCCCATATATATTTGTAAAAAAGAAAGTTAATTACCATATTATTGCTTTTGGGCGGAAGAAACATGGAGTAATTAACTAACGTAAACTACTTGTTGTGATTGTGAAAGAGAACTTTTCCATAATTAATTTCCACGATAAAAAAGTTTCCATAATTAAGTTGTTACTTTGGGTTAAAGAAACAATTAATGAATGTAAGCCCTACTTGCTGCCTAAGAAATAATTCCTATAAATTCAGTGTAATACCTCTCAAACCTCATTCGCTCTCTTCCCAGTTTAATTTTGTTTCATTGTCATTCAAAGGTAAAACATTCAGAACAAAGTTACGGTCTAATGGAGCAGCTTGGTCAAGAGGGTTTCCGTTTCCGTCCCACTGATTCCGAACGACTTATGTTCTTGTTGAGATTCGTCGCTGGACAAGAGATGCATGATTCTGGATTTATTACCACTAACGTTGATGTCTATGGCAAACAAGAACCCTGGGAAATATATGATCATGGCGTACCCTGTGGTGATGATGAGGACAGCACCAGTTATCGCTATTTCATCACAAAGCTGAAGAAGAAAAGCAACGCGAGGTATCATCGTTCTGTCGGAAACAAGGGAACTTGGAAACAGGACAACAAGGGCAAACCAGTTCACTACAAAAGTATGGGAAACACATCTTCGGTGGTTAATATTGGATCCAAGACAAATTTGTCTTACAAGAATAAAGAGTTTTACCCTGAAGATCAGAAAGATGGACATTGGCTCATGAAGGAGTACGAGCTGTCTAAGGTATTCTTCA